AACGAGACCGTGGTGGGGCTATACCAGAAGTCTTCAATGAAGACTCTGGCTTTCCTCTTCTCTGGGGCAGCTGCAGCTGCTGAAGCAGGTAATCTCACTGGCATTGATCTTTTACTTAATGTATAAAACACAAAGAAGAAGCCTGTTGTGATACATCTGCTCTCTCTGCCCTCAGAGTCTGGCGGTGGAAAGAAAGGAGCTAAGAAGAAGGGTTCTTCTTTCCAGACTGTGTCTGCGCTCTTCAGGGTATAAACTTCTGTTTCTCTCTAATGAAACTCATGAAATTAAATTGGCTTATTGTGTGGGGAGGGGAAAATAATTTTCAAGGATTCTAGAACTGGGGGTATACAGAAGGCACAGGCATCAGGAGGATAAGAGGCAGTAGTATAGGATAGGATAGGATAGGATAAGATGGTAAAATTCAATTTAGGAGTTAGAAATGAGGTCATTTGACACTGAGATGGATTCACTGGAATAGGATTAAGCAAAACATGACAATTTCTTGAGCCTTTAAAAGCTGCCAAGTGATGTAGCTGCTTAGATATATACTGGTCTAGTATTGAAATGAGTAGACTTTGAAAGCGGGCAATAGAAGAATAGTGCTGAGAACTGAAGGCTAAACTAAGAGCAAAGGAAGTAAAGAACTAGAAGTGATAAGAAATAGCTCTCTAAAAAATTCACTTCCATTTTGACAGTCCTACCTGTAGTAACTAAAGCGCTAGCTATTCTGGGAACTGGGATTTCCATAGGATGGAAAAGTTCTTACTCATGGTAATAGGAGTGTCATTTTTCTGCCAACTCTGAGAAAGAGATATTAAAAAGCTACTTTCTGTGGAGCCAAGAGGAAGGCATAGCTCTATGATTATAACAAGAAGTAAGCATGTGACAGAGACAGATACAATTTCAAACTTACTAAAGAAAGAAATGGGAGATTTGAAGGAAGAAATTACTAGTAAACTCGAAACCACATACCTAAGTAAAGAGAGTACAACGGAGTATTTTCACATGGTTAGAGTATTACGTTAAATTTACAATATACGTCAGGAAATACAATAGCAGTGAACAACCACCTCAACAGTTCATAGGAAAATATGTTCATAATGTTGAACAATAGGAAGTAGAAAACCATGTTGGAAATGTGGAAATTCCAGGAATAACTCTCTACAGATTCAACTCTACACACTACCCACTTAAGTCAAACCAGTGTCATTGATCATGAGAATTATAAATGTCTGAAAGCAATATATTTTTAAACCAGATGTTCATATGGTTCCACAGGAGAACTTGAATAAGCTGATGACCAACTTGAGGAGCACTCACCCCCACTTTGTACGCTGCCTCATCCCCAATGAAACCAAAACTCCTGGTAAGGCACCTCTGCTATCCAGACAAGTTGCAGGACATTTGCTTTAGATCAAAGAATAAGTCACACGTATTTCTACCCTCAGGGGCCATGGAGCACGAGCTGGTGCTGCACCAGCTGCGGTGTAACGGGGTGCTGGAAGGCATCCGCATCTGCAGGAAGGGCTTCCCCAGCAGGA